ATTCTGCAGATCTTCAAGCACGAAAATTCGGTGATTTTTTATTCTTCTTCCCCAAATTTGTATATATTCCTATTCCAGCTACAAAAAATTCAAATTCATATATAATGCAACTTGAAAACCTTAAATTTTCTTCTTTTCCAAGTTCCAAATAGTTTAAATAAAAAATAAAAATTGAAAAAACTATTGGACGTTCATGATTTTGCAAATAAATCAACAAGAAAAATCGATTTATACATAGATTGAACATATAAAATTTTAATTTTAGATTTAACTGCACATGTGCATTACATAACTTTGTATAAACTTCTGTGTACAATCTCTAATAATGTATACCGGAAAAATAAGACAAAGAAGAAAAAAAGAAGAAAGTGTCAAACATCCATGGATGCCTATTATACACGTACAATATATATACATACTTATATACTAAAAATATATCTAATTTATACAACGTTGTACGCAATACACTTATACTTATTTATACAATATTGTATAAGTGTGTATAAACACTACATGTACAAATTTACACTAGAAAACACCTTCTGTCCATCATCACATTACAGTTTTCGGTGGTTGCTGGCGTTGAATTTTTCCGTCGAGGTTTTGGCATTCAAATCTGGGCTTCACCAGTAGCAAAAGATGAAACAAAAACTAAGAGAAATAAGAAAATATGAGACGAGGTCGCCAGAAATGCTCTTTTAGGCAAGATCTGATACTTTTAGGCTAGATCTGATAGTTTTTGGACTGATATGCCAAATTTTTTTGTGGTTCCTTAACCTCTTTTTGTCAATTAACTCAAAAATCAAAATCTAATTGACACAGAATGCGAGGATTATCACGAGTGTGTATAAAAAGGTTCTGTAATTTTTAGGGAGAACGAAGAGAGAGGCGAGTGAAGAGAGATTAAGTATGCTGGGAAAGAAGAAAGAAGAAAAGAAAAAACCCTAGAAGTATGTCTTTAATAATGAGCTAAAGCCTGAAAAGTTTCTTTCAAATTATATATAACCTGGGCCAAATCAAGTAAAGACTTCAAACCTAGGCCATTTTTAGTTGGGCTGTTATGCGAAGTGATTAAATACGTAATTCTTTCTTATAAAAACTCAAGCATGACTTTATTCGTTGACATGTTTATGAATAACTCAAGTGCTTACAATTAATAGGCAGAAGAGACGAAAAGTAAGAGAGACAAAAATTGAAGAAATAAAAAAGGAATAGAATTCAAATTTTGCGGTTATTTTCTCATATAATATACAATCAAATTATGTGAATACCAAAACCAAATTAACAACAACCTCGTTCATATATTCAAACAAATACCAAACCAATACTCAAAATTAATGTCATCAACCAACCATTGACACCAATAATCATAACTCCATTATTATCCGCCGTCGCATCCGCCGGCACGTCACCGTCGTCGTCGCCGGAATTCGGCTCCGGTGCAGTATCCTCAGAATTATTATTAAAAATAGACTGTGCTTTAAACAATTCACTTGGCTGCAAAACTTTGTCAATTTTATAAACAGCTAATGGCTCCTCATCTAATAAAGTTCCAGTAATTTTTGCTGTCACAATATTTGTGTCTAATTTAACATTATCTCCATCATTTTTCACTGAAAAATCGTACTTATTATTTTTACCTTTTGTTGTTGCCATAGTATTTATAAATCCATTTTTCGACCTCAACATACCTAAAGAATGATAATCTGGAATACCATGATATAATAATAAAGAAGTTTGTCCATTTTTCGTTAAATTCTTGTACTTAGGTAAAAAAGTGTTCACGACTTTATCAATCGGGCAAAAAACTGTTAAGCCATTTTCCATAATATCTGTAAAAGTTTTGGTAATATTTGATTTTTCTAAAAGTTTGGCAAATTCTTTGCAGCCTTTATTAGTCATTAAATCAATTATGTCAATTTCTGCTGGAGCAGATACTGGAGCTTCTGCTTCTGAAGATTGAATAATATTGCTGATTTGTATGACAGAGATATTGTAAGGGATTTCTTGAACGGACTTGACGAAACTAGCAGAAAAATGACCGTCGTTTTCTTCTGTGGTGAACCCCACATTTTTACCTTTCGTGTTGGTAATGTTGATGTACCCTGATGTCCCCGGGGCCTCACCTGCAGAGACGGATTCAGAATTTTTAAACTTAATAGGTTTACAATTTTGCATTCTTTGAAAAATATGAATTTAAAACTTAACGTTTATGTTATTTATATATATGTTCACACATCTATTGTATATCGAAGGTTTAAGATAAATATCGTGGATTCAATTGAACATAGAGGTGACAAATCAACTAACTTTTCTATATCTCGCTAAACTCTGATTTATGACATGTTTGTTGACTTGACCTAACGAGTTGAACCTGAAATAACTCATCTAGCTATTGGGTCAAAATGGATCAAATTTGTGTAACCCAATAAGTCAAAATGCAACTCAAATCTAAACATGCAATCTAGTTTGGAGATTGAGAATGCTGTAAATTTGGAAAGAATTTAAGTTAGTAACTAAAGAAAATAAATTAACTTTCACTTTCTTTGTTGAAAAGGAACAAGGTAAGAGAAATCGAGTCATATTGAGTTGATTGAATTATGACCTATTATTTTGACCCACATTGATCTAACACATTTTAACCGAACAAGCACAATAAGTTAAATTTAAAATCAGAGTGACAACCTACTATACTCGGGTGAAATTAAATTGGACTAATAGTATAAAATTTCTTTACACTTTCAACACTTATATATAACTTGAATTTTTTATTTAATTGGTTTAAGTTTGTGCATTCTATGGATTCAAAACATAATATTTTGTACTTATTTTCAACATTTTTCACATATATATCTATATTATGAATATGCTGACTCACCTGTGGCTTGGAAAAGGGTGGCAGTGAGGGTTGTTCCATTGGTGATCTTATGGAGTTTCTTGGAGCTAAAGTAATCTGCAAAAACATGGAGAGAGAGGACATTCTTGAGAGTGTAAATGGACAAGTGTTTATCGAGGAGGTCATCCATGGCGGCGTTGTCCACTGCGCAAACGGTGATGGTTTGGCGGCGGTTGATCTCGGAAGCTAAGTGAGTAAGGGTTAAGTAGCGGTTAAAGGTTGAGAATTCGCGGTGTTTGGCAAGGATTTGAGTGATGTTGTGGGCGTAGGAGGTGGTGGTGGTAGAGAGAAATAGTAGATAAAATAGAGAAAGAGAGAACGACGACGAGTGCTGCATTTTTATTTCGTAATTTAGACGATGTGAGTTACGAAGAAAAGAATAGAATAGAAGAAGAGTTGGAGGTGGATGAGTTATTTTTGGACGAGGGGTTTATATGCAATATGGAATTTGGTAGTGTTGTTAAATTGGAGGGCGACAAAACTCTAATTTACTAGCTTTGTTAAGGAATTAGTTACACCAATTACATTTATATAATTTTAATTATAATTAAGCACTTTTAATATTGAAGTTTAGTTGTTATATAGTTATATACTGACTCTGTGAGTGTAATTTTACCTGCTCTAGAGAGTTACTTGTCAGAAACTAAGCAAAGTAGAGAATAATTCAAATTGAAATGTATCATATGAAGAAGTTAGTTAATCATTAGTCAAGTGATGTTACAAATTGAATATAATCAACACCTTGTGTTCCTTCCGAGGAAAATAAAAGTGCTCCACATCACGTTCTAATTATATATCCGCAAGCGATCTCTTGACTTAATTAGTTTTATGTTGAGGAAATACTACTAAAAAGATACAAATTCCAACGGACGTATTGGATGTGTGAGAACAAAGACCTACATGAAAAGGAGAAAAGAAAAATAAGATACTTATAAGGAGTGTGTGAAGTTTTTATGGGGGAAATCGTGCGGGTTTAGCCCAAAAACGAACAATTTCACATCATGTTAAAAGTATCTTTGGGCCGTTTTAACCCAACAGGACGCCCCGTCATAAATTGGCTCGTCGAAAAAGATTTTCAATGGTATCATCAAAGATTCGCGTTTTATAGTAGCGAAATACAAATATGCTTTGGTGAATAAGTATGTACCGGGAACCTGTATATTTTTCCGATTAATACGAAATGTGCTAGGTAAGTCTACTAAAATAAAGAAAAAATGACAATGTATATCTGCTATAGCCGAATATATATATA